CCCCAAAACCCCAAAACCCCAAAACCCCAAAACCCCAAAACCCCTATAATGTTCCAGCCAATTGAAATAAATGGCATCTCCTCACAAGTCATCAGCTTTAGTTTGCGTTATCCAGAGCCTGCTTCAGTCCAAGGTGGGATGAAATTTCACTGCTAATCTTCTTAATTTCCTCCAGTTCTTGAGCCAGCTTCTCTCTAGCTTTTCTCTCTTCTTGGAGCTCTTTCTCAAGCTTGGAAATGTAAGTAGCCGAAGTGAGTTGGCTTCTTCTAGAAATCTCACTTCTTCTGCTTTCAGTGTAGCTGCCGTAATACAAAGAATCGATTTCGTCATTGAGGTCTTGATCTTCTTTAATCTTTTGTTCTTCTTTGTCTGCTACTTCTTCTCTATTTTCTTCTAGCTGATCTTCTCTCTCTAGCTCGTCATTGTCTTCGGCTCTCTGGGCTTGTTCCTTTTCTTTCAAGGCGGCTGCTCTTAAATTTTCTAAATTTTAGTTTTGCAAGCTAAGCAGACTTACCTGCTTGCAGCTTTTGATTATAGTCGAAGCTTTTCTGCTGGAGCTGCTGCTGGTCTGGCTGGGGAGCATAGTTCTTTACGGACTGCTTGGAAGGATGGTAAGAGGCTTTTGATCTCCTGCTCATCACATCTAGTTCTTCGTTGAATCTCTTGGTTGGTTTTCTCTTACTGAGCTGGCTCCTTCTTGACAATCCGCTCCTCATGGATTTTGATCTGACTGAAGAGCCATGGACACCTTTGAGCTTGCTCTTTCCGACATATCCGCTTGCTTTGTTTGGAGCATACATTCCTGAAGTTCCTGTAAAATTTCAGATCATTGTTTAGAAAATTGTGGCATATTGTGTTCAGAATCAACTTATAAGGTCTAAGTACCACAAATAGGCTCGATCACTAAAACTTGGCAGTTCTTTGTTTGAATAAAAGTGAGAGATAATTCTAGTCAAGTTTAAATCAAGCTTGCTCAAAGATTTCTAAAACCAAAGCCGACAAAATTATGGGATCTTTATCGTTCATTAAAAGAACTTTGAATCTCCAGATTTCAGATTTTGGGTATTTGTAAGACTCAATGCCAAGACCAAAGAAAATGTTTAAATATTTATCAAGATTTCTTACTTGTAGCCGAAGGATATACAGTTGCAGTGCCTAGCGGGTTCCCAAATCCGGTTCCTGTGTGCATATGGTTAGCGTACGTCCTGTCCATAAATCTATGAAAATAGGCTGATGTTTATTTTGAGAAATATCAAGACAACGGTAGTTGAAATCATTTGTATAGTTTTAACAAGTCACCTTTCTAATTTGGTTCTCAGAATGTTAGAACATAGAATTTGTAGAAATATTTAGCTTATGAAGCTGTGGGATCTCCAGAGACTTACTTGGAAGCTGCATTGAACTCCTGGTTGACTCTCTGCTGCCAGGCGAGGTGGTCAGCTGCATAACTCATCTTAATAAATTTTATTATTTATTAAATAAAATTCAAAATATTTGGACATTTGGGGTTTTGGGGTTTTGGGGTTTTGGGGTTTTGGGGTTTTGGGGTTTTGGGGTTTTGGGG